TTCCCGCCATCCTGGTTTGGGGGTGTGACAGAAGGTAAGAACTCGTTCCATGAGTTCATTTTGTTTTCCTAAGAATCATACACAAGGAAAGACCATGAATGATGCAAAATTCTTGGTCTTGGGGTGTTAGATTGTCCCACTTTTGTCCTTATCATTATACTCACTTAGAAATGATCTTGAGGGGTTAAGATCACTCCAGTATAGATTTTGATTGGAACAAAACTAAGGAAATTAAGATCATCAATCGATAATCAAGAATCTGTAACTTCCCAGTTTTCACGATGTGAACATTACCTTGTCACAACGCAACGAAAAGACTTGAAACGATTTTAATCGTGTCTTTTTCTTTGCCACTCCGTGAACATCCCGTGTGTCATGTTGTGATTACATGTATTTTACTGGTCCAACGCTATCGGTTACTTTGTGTCATGATGTGGACATCCTAGTGCCATGACGTGATGACAAAACTGATCGGGACAGAATCACGATGGACACTTAACTCACGACGTGACACCTCCTTGGTCACGATGTGAGACTCATTTGGACAAAACAATTTTTATTTTAAGATCTGTTTTTGATTAGTTCTTTGAGTAATCTTTTAGGAGCGTTAGAGTACCTTTGAGAAGGTGGCTTTCCTATCTTCACAGCTCCATATAACTTGGACTATAGGTGAGTCATCTTTTGTGTGGTTTAAGCACTAGTTTGGAAGTATAACATACACCTATACTTGTGTTCTTGCCTATTTGATGTTATGTGATGTTATAAACTGAATGTCAAGGGTAAAATATAACGTGGACATGTAATGTTATTAACGATGCATCTAAATTTATGGATCCTTTGTATGCTAGGGTTCCTAAATTAATGATTTGGTGCAATTTGAGAGGGTTATGTCCATGTTAGAAGTGATGATTATTTATATGGTTTAATGATGATGATATGCATGTTATAATTATGTTTTGTCACTCTTGAATGAAACTAGGATATGCATGCTAGAAGTGGTTTTGTTAGAAGGTGGATATCTTTACATACTACTAGTTGATGTTATGTTATTTATGTCGATATACCTTGATGTGTGATTGCAAGATGTAGTATGCCATGAATTAATTATAATAATAATTCACTAGCATGATTACATAATAATATTGGTGAGGTGCGTGTTGCTCGTGTGAGAGAATTAATTAATTATATAATTATTTAAAATAAAAAGAGGAGCACATATAACTGGGTTAAAAGGGTAGCAACCTAACCTAGGTACGCACCCAAACGGGCTATCACGATATCATTGGAAGGAAAGCTCTTAAGCAAATTCTATGTGGAGTCATATTCTAGTTGACCATTTCGATACATGGTCCTATAATGACAACACATCGTGCTCGTACATGCAAAGTCGGAGTAGCGAAGGCGGAGAACTAGGGACAGTGTTACGGGTAGGAGTTATGCCCCATTTAGTGCACTGAGTCACAAGGTCACGTTAGTAGTGAACAAGGTCTTTATTTGGGGAGTGTTAGATATGCAATATAGCCTATTTAGTGAGGGACATTAATAATAATTATAGCGAATCAAACAAATTAACAATTATTGCGATGAAAGAATGTCCGGCCTAATGTATATATTTATATATTAATAGCTATCAATGTATAATGCATGGATTGATGTGATTGCAAGAATTGACATGATGTATATGTATGCTTTGTTTCCATGCTTATGTGCTTGAGATCGAGTCACTATGCTGATGTTGACACTTGTTTCTTGCCTCTTGTTGTGGCTTTTGCATTGGTATAGGTAGCTTGACATTGATGGCCTGGTGATGTAGAAATCTTATGGGTAGTTATAATCATTTGGTTAGTAATGATGATACAAGTTTGAGACGTCTTGTGATGTTTCATTTACATTTGGTTTTGATATTTCTTTTGGTTGGGTTTTTACAACTATGGATTTTGAAGGGTTAATTTTGATAGATTTTCTAATTGACTATTGTTGACGTTTTTATAAGGCTTCCGCTAATGTTTTTATGATAATAATTGGTTAAAATAAAAGAAAATTTTTGGGTGAAAAATCACGATGTTACATCTAACACCTTGTTCCTTATTTCAACTTAAGGACAGAAAAGAAAGGAAGTGAAAATAACTGGAAAGAAAAGATAAATTATCTTGTTATGAGATTATTTTTTGGAAGAATGAGAGAAAGGTAGGAAAATATAAGGGATCCTATTGTCTCATAATATTCCTTTCAAATTGGAGTGATTTAGAGGGAAGTAGGCATATATACGTGTTTGTTTATGGATTATCAATAAGGGATTATTTTGTTCCATTTCCTTTTTTCTAAATCGGGAACCCAAAATTATTTTTTCCTTTCTTTGCTCTCCATATTTTTCTTTGCTCTCCATATTTTCCTTCCATATCTTTTCTTTTCTTTATAAAAACTTGGAAACTAGGTGTAGGAGAGAATACATTTAAAAAAAAAACTATAATTACTCTTTTATTCATACACAAGTTGGATCTTGTGTGGGTTAAATTCATTATTTTTTAAAAAAGTTTATTGCCCTATGACATGATGCTTATTTGAGTATGTTTATTGGCTAATAAGTTATGGCCGTTTTCTTCATATTTCTTTACCCCCTTCTGGGTCATTGACTCTCACACCCCCAAACCAAAGATGACGGAAACGTCCGGGGGTGGCGGACTTCATGTATAGTATCATAACAACAAGTATAATAGTGATCAAAGCAATACAACCAATCATAAATATAATCAGAAAAGAATTACATGGTTTCAAGTGTGACATATTTCCATGATTGATTACAACATGATGTAAAAATAGTTGTTCAACGTCGTAGCGTTCCATCCTCAAAAGCATGTAGTTACCTGGTTTCGTTGATTTCCTGAGAATACAAGTAGTTTTGAAAAAGTGTCAACAATTAAGTTGGTGAGTTCATAAGCTTTTTAGATGAAGAGTTTGGAAAACGATCTATGTAATGAGTTGTGGGTTACCAAGAAAAATCCAATATTTTCCTTAGAAAGGTGATGTGTGGTCTTTAATTCCAAGATCGAAAGTGTACAGTAATATCCATACTTATTGATATAAAAAGTGATTTTAAATCGACATAAAACCCTTTATGATTTGTGAAAATCCCCGTAAACTTTATGTGTTGTTAACTCCCTATGTGAGTCACTATAAGCATACTATGACCAGAGGAACCTGCCGCGACGTTTCTTAGGCGTTGAAATAGAAAATGGCACTGGTCACCCCAGACCTGCCGGTCTAGCTGTTGCATGCAGCTCAAGTGTGGTTTGTCAAACCCAATATAGATCTATACACAACTATCACGTTCTCCCTACAAGAGACTCTGGTTATAACTACTAAGAATTTTAACTCGTACTCTAGGAGTACTAAGAAGAATGTCTCACAATTTACGTTAACAAGTTTACGTGTAGTGTGCGTGAGTGTAAAGCCTTTTTCTGTGGGAATAAAACCTTCCGAAATGTGTTTGTTGTGTTAATGGAAACATAAACTATACCTATTATAGCTTATCAAAAACGTTTTGTAATGGTAGAAATCTTCTTTGTATATGATGTAAACCTTTATAATGAGGTAAAAGACATGTAATATAACCAACATGTATTTATATATGTTAATACACACCTTGCTCAGCAAGTTACAAGGTGTAAATAAGTTATCAACCATTTGCTAGTTTTATCTTTTCTGTTCCTGTTCTTGGAATAATTATGTAAAAATCATACGGAGTCAAAAACTCATCCCGTAAATTCTGAGAGTTTAGAAATTGTGTCTAGTTCGTTCATAATTTTTATCTTGATTTTTAGAAGTTCATAACTGGTGTGAAAGCGTTCATATTCACAGATTGGTCTGAATTCATAGCTATAGTGATAGACAGTTTTGTAAAAATCACCAAAAATTGTAGAAAAATCGTGTGAATATGTGCAAGTAGTCATTTTAAAGGTATAAACCTGAAATATTTTCGTCTAATACAGTTTTGAAAACTAAAAAGTTTAAGATGTTCAAAACAGTCCGTGAATGAATATTAACTTTTCTATTGAAAGCTGATGTTTGAGTTTAGTTATGTTATTGGTGTTTTAATTTGTATTCTACCCCTAAAACTTGAAGAAAACATGAAAATGTGGGGGTATGAACTCACCTTGAGTGATTTCATTAGATGGATGATGAAGAAAAGGGGTTTCCAAGTCAAGAACACTTGGGAGATACTTGAGGATTCGAAGATCTAGTAACAAATATGATGATATTTGTGTAAGGAATTTATGATCTGAGTGAAAGGATGAAAGATAATCAAATGTAGGATGAAGTTACTTACCAAACTTGGAGGGAAATGCTCAAGAATAACCTTCAATTTCGAGTTTTAGAGAGAGAGAAAGTGAGAGAGAAATGGGTTTGATTCTTCTTGAGAAAGAGTGAATAATGTGGGAAGTGAAGTAGAGATTTCCAGCCCTTTGATTTGATCATGTCTGGTGAAATAGTGTAAAAGGACAATCAATTGACTAAGTATGGGGGAATAGTGACAGGGTTCGGTTGTTGGTTGTTGGAGAAGGACCGAAAGTGGGGAGGAGGAACCGAAGGTAAGGCTCACTTGTCTAATGAGAACCGAGAGGAGGGTTCGGTCCGAGCACTTCGCATGCGAACACGGGAAAGGAAGTGAAATAGACCGAAGCTCGGTCCTGAAGGTAGTTTTGGTCTTGGCAGGTTCAGTCCTTATGGTTCGGTTCTTAATCTAGTTTCGGTTCCTATAGGGGGCTTCGGTTCTAATTAGGGGTTTCGGTCCTTAAGGGCTGTTTTTCAAGTTTTCTTCCCGTTTTGAGTGATTTTTGGCCAAGTTAAGGGTCGGGATGACCCGGATGACTATAAAAAGTTGGGAGAGATTTGAGATAGAGAGAGATTGAGAGAGACTTTGTTTGTGACATTTTTGGATGTTTAGCTTCGCAGCGCAAAATTTGTACACCCCGTTAAGCTTTGTTATGATGGTTATATGCCCCCGAGGGGTATGAAATAACGTTTTATCGAATAATTTCATCACTTACCCCGATTAGGGTTTAGAATTTCTGAACGAATGAACTTTCCAAGTGATAACTTCTTATTAAAATAGTGAGTTGTACGATAGTAACATAATGTAAACCTTAATATACAAGGGTTAGATGAGTTGACTGGTTTGACTTGTTGACTTTATTTGAGTTTGACTTGATCGGAAAATTGACGGTTGTCACATTGACCGATTCTGAGAAATAAGCAAATGAAAGTTGGCCGTGTAAGTTTCAGAATTTTCTTAGATATGTGGCTCATTATAGAAATATAAATAAATAATGGATAATATCGTTTTCTGATGAACCAAATTTGGTTCGATCACAGGCTTTCTGATTATGACTAAATGGAAGACATAGTAACAAAAGTTTAATTACCTTTGTATTATAGTATTGATTCTCATGTTTTCTCTATTATAAAATTACAAATTACATATAATTTTTCTAGCTTATCTTCGCAAATATTAAGAATTTAATTTGGAAAGTGTAAAATATCAATATATGAATATATGCTTGTGAATTATATATGTGAAAACAAACCGATGCATGAGAATTGAGTTAGTCACTCAGTTTTGATGATTGGATCGAATGGATTTTATTTTTTCAACAACTGTTTCAAAGGCTTCAAGTGTCAAGTCCTTCTCAATGTAATCGATATTAGATGGATCAAAAGGGCCTTTGACTCGATCAATACATTTTATAACCGCTCTTGCCGGGAGAATGCTCCTTGTGGGGTCAGGAGAAGTTCCTGAGCTCAAGCTCGATGAGAATCCCTACATCACCATATGTATATATATATATATATATATATATATATATATATATATATATATATATATATATATATATATATATATATATATATAATCAAAAACATTATTTCAATATAAATCATAGGCCAAAAAATTAAAGTACAACGAGACTAAATACTAATGATTTGTAATTTGATAACATTTGGAACCAGACCGAGGATAAGTTAACTAATTGTGATAAAAACAATTTTTACAACTTCAAACACAATGTAGAAAACATGAAACTAATAGGGCAGTTAAAACTATTTGTATTTATGAGTCGTTAACTCGTTATTCACCATGTACCTTAAAGATTAGAACTTCAACTTCTAGGTCATCAACGATTGCTTTAACCAAAAGTGCTTCGTTTTTTGCCACCTGGCTATAGAATTCTAACAATGATATCGCTTCATTGTGTCCATATTCTTCATCATTTTCACATTCGTCTTCACTAAATCTTAGTTGCCTTCTAGCCCGACATTGATTGCCAGAAACTTTACGACTTTGGCTACCAGGTTCATGAGATTTGCTGGAGAAAAAATTATTGTGCCCAAGTGTGATGGTTGAAGTGGTGTTGACATTGTGAGAAATGGTAGGGAAAAGAGAAGGGAAGGATAATGTAGTATACATGAGTGGTGGTGAAGAATAAAGTTCTAGTGATCCACAAGACTTGATAAGAGGTTCATGTGAGTTTTGGCTTTACATAACAAAAATAATTCATGTCGTACGGGTCATTATTTGATATTGAAGGTACATACTATTCGAGATAATCACATCACATAAGATAATTAAAATGAGTATTCAATTTTTATATGCTAGTTATTATAATTGTAACTCATATACAATTGTCGCCGCTTTGAAGGGATACAATGTTAACGTACACCACAATATTGAATTTGTATTCTATGCGGCCCAAAATTATTATCCATAAACAAAAAATATACAGATTAAGAAAACATTAATTACTGTTAATTTTATTAAATGAAATGACAATTATATTATTTTGTTGTATTTAATTTCATTATAGTTGCATTTAATTTCTTGGTAGTTTAACTAATAATGAGAGGTATTTTGATAAAAATGATATTTATTTTTAGAGATTGACTATTATTATATGCTAGTTATTAGAATTGTAATTATTCAAATTTTACATGCTAATTATTATAATTATAACTCGTATACAATTGTCGCCGCTTTAAAGGGATACAGTGCTAACGTACGCCACGATATTGAATTTTTAGTATTAATTATAACTTTAACATGTGCAATATTTAATTTCAATCTATAAATTTGGTTTCTATAGTTTTAATTTCAATAGGTTTCTATAATTTTAATTTCAATAATTCATTTTTCAGTCTCTAAATTTTTATTAGTTACAATTTTAATCCCTATAAAAAAAGACATCTCTACTAGTTAGTTCGATACATCCTCATACATACCCTATTGTTTATGTACGTTTTTATGTAAATACTAATTAGTTGTATGTTTATATTGGGTATAATGACTTAAAATGGTAATATAATTTTCAATTTGTATACATTTGGTTATTGAGTTTTTTTTCGTCAACATTTACCCCCTCAACTTATTAAACTGTGCACATTCAATCTTTATGACCAGTTACTCCAGGTTAATCAGGAAAAATGACTTAATAAGATGATATATTTCTCATTTTGTATACATTTAGTCATTAATATTTTTGTATATATTTAATCATTAATATATATATATATATATATATATATATATATATATATGTTTCAAAATAAGTCCTTTTTGTTTTTTACTCATTCAGTACTTATGAATGATTTATTTACGTTTTTGTCATGACATCTTATGTGGGTCAATCATTGATAAGGTGTTTAGGGTTGTTGATGCTTATGTCCATCGCGACTTTGACTACTTGGTTGCGTAGGTCTTGTAGTTTGACTTAGATCTTGTGTTTTAAACGTCGCAACTTTTTCATACGATATCAAATTTTAACGATCTTTATATCAATGTGTTCGTTTTTTTGAGTCTACTACAATTTTCGTTAAGATTACTCCCGTTAAAATGTAATATACTTTTACCTATGATTTTATAAAAAAAAAATCCATACATGCATTCATAAAAAACATATGGATATAAAGATCATAAGTAAAAATACATTACTTTTTAATGGGAGCAATCTAAACGAAACTTGTAAAGATCGTTAAAATCTGAGATCGTATGAAGAAGTTACGATGTGCAGAAAACATGACCTAAACAACCAAGTAGTCGAGATCGCAATTGACATAAGCATCAAAAGCCCCAAGCACCTCATTAATGACTGTTCCACGTAAGATGTCATGATAAAAACATAAATAAATCATTAATAAGTACCAAATGAGTACAAAAACAAAAATGACTTATTTTGCAACAAAAAAAAAATTATTAAGGACTAAATGTGTACAAAAATATTAAGAACTAAATGTGTACAAAGTAAGAAATATATTACCCTATTAAGTCATTTTTATTGGCTAATCTGGAGTAGTCGGTCATAAGGACTGAATGTGTACAGTTTAACAAGTTCAAAGGGCAAATATTGATGAAAAAATTAATGACCAAATGTATAAAAATCAAAAAATAAATTACCGTTTTAAGTCATTATCACTTTATTTTATCAACAAAATACAAATTTTTCCAAAGGTGTCTTACAAAAAAGTCATTTTTTTAATTCTAACATGTTTAGTTACCTTTTAGGAAAAATTACACAAATGGTCCCTATGATTTAGGATAATATATGTATTTGGTTCTCAACTTCTTTTTTCTTAGACAATTTTTATTATCTGCTTTTGTTGTTCATTTGGTTGATAGTAGATATAAAATGACTGTTTTGTCATTTGTGGTATATATCATTAGTTTTTATTATTTATGATGTAATTATTTAAGGAAATTAATAACTAAATATGGGGGACCGACCCCTCTATCTTTCTCTCCTATCAAAGGACTCAAACCAAGCGTAATGTCCATCAATACCCATCAAATGTTTCCCTCCACCACTTTTGGATAGTGACCCCACCACTGTTATCGTCTATGCCTTAGATACTGGTGTTTCCCTTCCACCTCCGATATCCCCCCCCCCCCCCCCCCGGTTTCCTCTGTTACAGACGAAGCCTATCAATTAAGCCATTATGACCTAGATTACATTGTGTTTAGAAACAATTGCAAAGATGGTAATCAAAATTAAACTTGATGGACCTATCAAAGAAACCAAAACCAAAACCATAATCGCAGTTTCTAAAACACACGCACTTCATTAATATCTATAACATAATGATTTTAGATGCCGATTTTAAACCTGATAGAGGAGGGATGACTCTGTTTCAGGTCGGAGATAGAGAGCAACCAATAAGGGTGGTGAAGGATTTGGTTGTGGTGATTTTTAGTGATTAGTGAAGACAGTTTCAAAGAAGAGAGAAAAAAGGGTGAATGTTGGGAGGGCATGGAGGAAACAACTTTATGGTTGCAGAGTTTCGGTTATTTTCTTATGTATTCTTTTTACAAATTACAAATTAATATAGAATAAATAGAAAGGCTTAAAAATACCACAAATGGCTAAATTGTAACTTTATAACTAGTAGGGACCAAACATGTGACATCTCCAAATTTCACGTCCAGAAAAGACGATCTGTTTATGTTTTATTTGAAAATAAGAATATATTTTTAAAGCAATATGTTGCGGAATTTGTTCCAAAAAATATGATAAAAAATTTATCAAAGCATTTCCGAAGAAATGTATTTTCATTAAATTACAAATCTTGGGATGTCATTGTCAATACAGATCAAAAGCATAAAAAAATAACATAGGCCACACAAGTATTCCATTTATTTCTACTGGCCTATAATCCATAATCTCTCAATGGATATTCGCATCTATACTCTTATGTCACTACCTATAATACAAAAACTGAGTGGGTTAGACTGGGGAGTCTGGTGAGCACATAGGGTTTTTGATATGTGCATATTTAGTTCATATTAAGTATAGATTTTTATTCATTTATTAGCTAAATTATTACATTTCATGGACAAAAGGTACTTAAAAGTGTTTGAATTATATTTTCAGTCCAAAAATGAAGCTTGGAAGTAGAAGGAAGCAGGAGAAGCGGTTGAGAGCTCGAGAATGGAACAAAGAAGAAAAACACTAAAAATAAAACCTACTCGGCAAGTAGGGTCGACTACTCGGCGAGTCCAAATGAAGATTCGAGAAGATAACAACTCGGAAACCCAGAGACTTATCACAATAAGGGGACTGAGAGATAGACTCGACGATTCGGTTCGCTTATATAAAGATAACTCCTCAGAACGATGGGAAAAGAATTCTGGAACGATCCTGGAGAGTTTAGCTGCGATTAAGAGGTCAGAAAAACCCTAGAAGACGAAGATAGAAGCTAGAGTTCAATCCCGAGGAAGAATTGAGGCAAATTTCATCATTCCACTTAATCTTTTGTTTTGTCATTATGGTTAAACAATTAGACTCTGTTTGTTTGCTGTTATTTACTTCAATTATGAGCTAAAACCTTTAGACTTCTGTTTGGGGATACAAAATTGATACTATGGTTTGATTGTTGGTAGGATTAATTCTAAGTTGGTGATTTTTGTTATTTTAGCTTGCTAAAGAACCTTGTGTGTGAATAATAATTAATTTTCTGTTAATAGGAAGATAATTAATTAGCATGAACATCTCTTAATTATCAACCTCATATGCTATGTGATCACTTTGTCATATGTCTAGGATTAATGAACATGAAACTAGAGTTAATAAGAAAATTGAGTAAATTCATGTGCAAGCTTGTGTGATGACCATCAACAAGAAGTTAATTAAAAGACCAAATTAGTTAACTATTGCAAGTCTAAATTAACCCAAATAATTAATCTAGTGAATTTAATTAAATTAGACAACTAGCCACTGTTTAAGTTAGTTTATTTGCTAAGGATTAGTGTAGTGAACGCGAATCTAATCACTTGAATCGGTAACCAACAAAAGAATTAATCCATTGCACCATTACCTTGAAATCAACCATAGGAACAATTGAGTTGAACTAAACAGAAGTTTCTTCCCATTATTGAATCTAGTTAATTCTTTGTTTTCTAGTTCTTTTTTTTTTAAAATTAAGTAATAGTTAGTAAGTTTCTAGTCTTGTAAAACTAGAGAAAACTCCCTACTTATTAATTAATTTAGATAGAATTAGTTTTTAGTTTTAATTTGCCGTTCCCTGTGTTCGATACCCTACTTATTCAACTATACCATAATTGATAGGTTCACTGCCTTTGTGTTTTATTTTATAATTAAAAGTAGGTTTAAAACTAAGTGAGTTTGCACACATCAAGTTTTTGGCGCCGTTGCCGGGGAACGGTTCTAAAATTAACATTAAATTCTAATTTAATCGATCTTTTGTGTGGGATTTATCTTACACAAAGTTATTTAAAAAGGTAATTCAGTAAGTAGAATAAGTTTTAATAAAATTCCGTTTTTAGAGTAATTAGAAAATTTTTTATGTTTTTGCCTTGAACTCGCCGAGTGCACTCGTGCCGACTCGGCGAGTACATCACTGTTACAACTTTAATTTTTATTTTATTTTTGTTCTTTTTACGCGTTTTCTGTTTTGTTTACAGTTGTTTCATAACCCGAGGATCTGATACACCTCTGGTACTTCCTCTTGAAGACCCGGAATCCGCACTAAGGAGGAGCAAAGGCAAAACCGTTGGAGAAACCGCTTCTTCAAAGAACTCACCACTCAAAAACCTAAAGTCCGTTTTCAGCAAGAAGAGGAGCAGCAAATCAGGAG